GTGTGCGTGGAGTGTGCGTGTGGTGTGTGTGTGTGTGGTGTGCGTGGTGTGCGTGGTGTGCGTGGTGTGCGTGGTGTGTGTGTGTCTGTGTGTGTGTGTGTCTGTGTGTGTGGTGTGTAGTCTGTGTGGTGTGCGGTGCGTGTGTGTGTGTGGTGTGTGCGCGTGGTGTGTGCGTGTGGTGTGTGTGTGTGGTATGTGTGTGTGGTGTGTGTGTGTGTTTTCGTGTCCGTTTGCCTGGACAGTCTTTCCAGAGGTGGACGAGGGCCGGAGGACATGGACGGCCAGAAGCGCCGACTCCTCGCTGCCCCCGCCCAAGAGAGGCACGGGACCCTTTCTCTGACCCCGGAGCTTGGCCCAAGACACACAAATAAATACACACAAATAAAAATATTCCCCATATTTTCCCATATGTTCTGGGCTTTCGTCTTCCACCCCACTTCCCATATTTTCCCATATTTTCTGGGGAGTCGACGATTAATTGTGTCTATGTGTTTCTTTCCCTCCTGATTTCTGGCCTCCGTATACGGCGATCCCACCCCGCCGTCGGGGGCCCCCCCCGGGGCCCCAATGGGACGGTCAGCGCGCCACCCTGGCCCTCCTGATCATAGGGGAACACAAAGTGGCATAAGCATAAAAACTCGGAGGTCCGCGCGGATTTCTCGGATCGGCGCCGGAGGCGCCGCCGGGGGACCCCAGCGCCGATCCGAGAAATCCGCGCGGACCTCCGAGTTTTTATGCTTATGCCACTTTCGTTCCCCTAGGTCAACCACCTGCACCGCCAACCCTCTCCTGCCCCCGCCAGCCCCCACCGGGTTGCCCGCCGAAGGGGATATGCGCACCGCAGCAGGCACGACCCCCGAAGCGCCCAGGCAGGGACACGAGACCCGGCGTGATATGCGGCCAGGAAAAATCTTGCTCGGCCAGCTTGGACTCATGGGGGGATCATAACGTCGCTCCGGCACCCACTCGTGCGGGGCTTCCGCACCACCGCGGCCGAGAGCAGGCCCAGCCTCACAGAAGCCCCCCCCCCAGCGCTCCCTCGCAGGCGGCAACTGGCTGCCCTCCAGGATCCGGCGCCCAGGGAAGAGTCGACAGCCTAGCGCCCCAGCGACGGCACCCCACATGCGGAAAAAATCCAGACTGCCGCCCCCCCCCCCGCGCCTCCGAGGCCAGACCCAGAGCGGCGTGCCTCCAGCCAGTCCCCCACCTCCTCGGGGCGCGGACCGGCGCCAGTCCGCGCCAGAGCCAGGGAGGCGCGCACGGAGTCGCCCGAAGCTCCCCCGGAGGCGGGGCGGGGCCGGGCAGGGAGGAGTTCCAACATCCGCTCAGCCTCTCGCGAGCCCTCCCGCAGATGCTCCTGCGACTGGAGTGAAGGGGCAGCTCCCCCGGCCAGTCCCGCGAGCGGACGTTCTGGGAAACGGCGCAGCCCCAGCAACTCCTCTCAGCCAACGGTCAGAGTGCCCCCTGCCTCCAGCCCCATTCGTGCGGAGGCCCCACTGGCCAATCAGCCCAACGCTAACGCTTCGCAGGCCGCAGAAGAAGCAGTGCAGTGCAGGCGCCCAGGCGCCTCCCAAAGGTGGCGCGGACGAGACTCAGCGGAAAGGGCCCCGCCCTGGAGACAGGAGCCGGCACCTCGTCACCAGCCCCCTTTTGCGCTGCCCCCGCCTCACTCGAACAACACTGACAGGCTCTACTACAAGCCTGGGCACCAGGTGACCTGGTACCCGAACTGGAACCACCGAACCAACGCAAGGGAGGACTGGAGAGCAGTGATCAACCACCTCAAGAAAGAATATGGCCCCATGTTGGCCATCGGATGGAATGCCATCTGCGACCAGGTGTGTGGACCCCACCCCGCCAAAGACCCCCAGCGTCACCCCTCTGAATTCTGCCAAGGTTTGGTGTATGACCTCAGCGAGGCCTTTTACGACGCGCGCAGGCTTTGCCGCAGGAAAGGCAGTCAAGCCGATTGGCATGCTGAATGGCACCGCGAACTTGACAGACGGAGGCAAAGCGCTGAGCTCGCGAACGGCAAGGGGAAGGGGGCCCCGCCGCATGGGAAAGGGAAGCGGCCAGCGGACTCCTCTTGGCCCATCAATGACCCCCCCCGCCAGCGCGGGTCAGCTTCCTGCAGCCACCGCTGGTAGCTGTCGTACAGCTGCCCTACCACCTCGTCCTGCACTGAGCTTGACGACCCCGCCCTGGCAGTGTCCACCCTGGCCGATGCCCGCCACTCTTGGCCTTCTTCAATGTCCCACATCGTGCACCTATCCGACGCCCCCCCCCCCCGCAGGCCTCCAGCCCTCGCGCGGGGCCTGCCTTGCCGCCCTCCTTTCCCCGCCTTCGCGGCCGTTTCTCATCGTGCACCTGTTCAGTGCCCACCCCGCAGGCCTCCAGATCTCGCGCGGGGCCTGCCTCCTCCCGCCGGCGTCGCCACCCGGGTGGCACTCTCACTCCCACGGGTGGGGTCTCGCTGGCTGCCGGCGCTTGGCCGGTGCCCACCGCCGCCGCCCTGCCTGGGTGGGCCCTGTCACAGCGGGCTGGTCTTGCCGCCTGCTCGTGCCCTCTGGGCCGCCCCTCTCTGCCTGCCTTGGGGTGCCCTGCCCCGCCGCCGCCCCCCGCCTCTTGGGGCGCCAGCCTTCTGCAGGTGTTGTCCAGGCGCTGCCTGTGGCACCCCGCTGGCCCTTGCCGTGCTTCGCCGGCCTGGCGACAGTCGTTACTTTGCCTGCCCCCCCCATTCTGCCTGGTTTTCTGGCCACCTCCCCAGCACCGGCTACCGGTGTCTGGCCGCTGCTGTTCCCGTGGCACCTCGCCGCTGTCGGCTACTACCCAGTTGGCCCGTTGCCTCGGGCTCCCCGCCTCCTTTTGGCGTTCGCCGCCTCTTGCCGTCGCCTTCCCCCACGCATGTGCATTGGCTCGCCTGGGCTCGGCACTCGCCTCCTTTGGCCTCGGCGCCCGCTGTGGCTGGGTGTCGGTTGCTCCGTGCCTCCTCGCCTCGCCGCTGGCCTGGCACGCCTTGGCGTCGGCTGTCGCCCCACCCGCGCCCTGGGCCCGCTGCTCCCCCGCTTGGCGTGGCTCTGCTCCTTTCCTCCCTGGCCTGCCGCGCCGTTGCGTATCGCCGGGCTGTCTCTCTCTCTCTCTCTCTCTTTCTCTCTTCCACGCCTGCGCCTCGTTGGTCCTCCTGGTCTCGGTGCCCCCCACCGCTGCCGACGTTCGAGGAGCGGGTCGAGACTCCTCCCCCCACCGCCGCCCTTCCGCGGGCTGCCCGCTACCGCTTCTGCTGCTCTGTGCCGCTCAGTGCTGCGCGGTGCCGTCGCTTGCCCTCCACCCATCCCTGCCCGCGCCTCGCAGGCCCGCAGGCCTCGGCGCTTCGGTTCATCCCTGGGCCGTGCCTTGGTTCACTGGGTTGGGGTGGTGCTGCATGGTGCTTTTCCATCTCAGCTGCAGCTCAGCGCTGCTCCCCCCCCTGGCTTCAGCCATGTTCAGCTCAGTGCTGCTCAGTGCCGGCGCTAATTCCCACTTGCGGCGTTCCCCCCCGCCGCAGCCCATTCGGGCCAGTCCGCCTTCCACCTCTCCGCACGCGCCTCGTGGGCCCGCAGGGCTCGGCGCACTGGCCCCTCCCTGGCCTGTGCTCGATTCACTGGGTCGGGCTCTGCTTCGCTGTCTTTTCCACCACCAGCTGCAGGAGGAGGAGGAGGAGGAGGAGGAGGCGGAGGAGGAGGGGGAGGGGGAGGGGGAGGGGGAGGGGGAGGAGGAGCAGGTCCGCGCTGCCTCCCCCCAGCTTCAGCTCAGCGCAGCCCGGTGCAGCACCGTTCCGGCGCTGCCGCGCCCCCCCCTCGGCGCTCCGCCCGCCGCGGCCGGCAGCTCTCGGTGCCCCGGCGTCCGCTTCTCCTGTCGCGCCGGGGCTCCTCCTCCTGCCGTGCAGTGCGGCCTTACGTTGCGTACAGCGTGTCCCCTGTTGCCATTCCGCCGGAGCAGTCTCCTGCTGCCCAGCCGCCGACGCAAAGAGATGTGTTTGGGCGTGTATGTGTGTGTGTGTGCGTGTGTGTGCGTGTGCGTGTGCGCGTGCGTGTGCGTGTGCGGGTGCGGGTGCGTGTGCGTGTGCGTGCGTGTGCGTGTTTGCGTGTGCGTGTGCGTGTGCGTGTGCATGTGTGCGTCTGCATGTGTGCGTGTGCATGTGTGCGTGTGCGCGTGCGGGTGCGGGTGCGTTTGCTTGTGTGTGGGTGTTTTTTCCACCAGCGCAGTCACTCTGCCTAGCCGCCGACACACAAAAAGAGTGTGTGTGTGGGTGGGTGGGTGTGGTTGTGTGTGTGCATGTGCGTGTAACTCTCTGTCCCTCTCCTCTCTCCTTTCGCTCTATCTCTTTCTCTCTCTCTCCCTCCCTCCCTCCCGCCCTCCCTCCCTGCGTCGGGGCCGTCCCCCTTCTACCGTGGCCCCTGGTTCGTCGCGCTGCGATGTGGCTGGGCCGCCTTACGCCTCGTCTGTCGTGCACTCCCTGGTCGTACGCTGACGGAGCCGCCTGGTCCCTCGTTTCATGCCCGCTCTGGTCACAAGGGTTCAGCGTGAGCGGCGCTAGTAGCCGCGGCGCTGGAACGAACTCCGTCCGCATCGGTGTCTCGCTCTCTCTCTCTCTCTCTTTCTCTCTCTCTCTCTCTCTCTCTCTCTCTCTCTCTCTCTCTATATATATATATATATTTCTATCGATTTATGTGTGTTCTCTCTCTCCCTCTCCCTCTCTCTCCGTCTCTCTCTCTCTCTCTCTCTTTCTCTAGGTCTCTCTCCCTCTCTCTCTCTCTCTTTCTCGCCCTATCTCTCTCTCTCTCTCTCTTTCTCGCTTTCGCTGTCGCTCTCGTTCCCTCCTTCTCTCTCGTTTTCTCTCTCTCTCTCTCTCTTTCTCTTTGTCTCTCATTATCTCTCTCTCTCTCTCTCTCTCATTGTGTGTCTCTCTCTCTCTCTCTCACCGTCGCTGCTCTCACCGTCGTTGTCGTCGTCGGGGGGGCCAGCTCCATGACCACGTACGGCTTGGAGTGCAACGCCTCGACCTCCTTCTCCCAGTCGAAGCCGGGCGCCTGGCGGTCGCCGGGCGGCGGGGGAAAGCAGAAGAGAGGATAGGAGCCGCTGCGGAACATCCGACATCTTGAGCCCGGGAGGAGGGAGGAGGAAGAGGAGGGGGAGGGGGGAGGGAGGAGGAGGGGGGACGAGGAGGAAGACCTTTTTCGCGGCAGACGATGACCCCATCGTCGCGCACTGCAGATCACCACGGCGGGACCGTGCCACAGCGTGCGGCGGAGGGCCGCACGGTGGCCGCCAAATGGTCCATGGGCCCATGCGCAAAACACAAGATAACCCAGGACCCTACCCTCGGAACCCTCCCCTGAGCCCCCCCCCCCCCAGAGGAGAAGAAAGAGGACCGGAAGAATCGCGGAGGGAGGAGGCCACAGAGCCGCGAAGATCACCGAATCCAGAGCCCCCGGATCGGCGGCACTGGCCGGAGGCCATTGCAACAAAAGCGTGAGTTAGCGGGGGCAGGGCAGGGTGAGACGAGCCCAAAAAGGCAAGGCCAGAAGCCAAGCCAAAGCGAGACGCCCCAGAGGCGGAGGAGGAGGGGCGGGGTAAGACGAGCCCCGAGAGGCAAGGCCTGAAGCCAAACCGAAACAACACGCCCCAGAGGCGGAGAAGGCAGGGCAGGGTGAGACGAGCCCAGAGAGGCAAGGCCCGAAGCCAAACCAAAACGACACGACACGCCCCAGAGGCGGAGGAGGAGGAGGAAAAGAGCGGGCAAAGGCGGTGTGCGGATGTCCCCCTGCAGCCCAGTCGGCTTGCGCACCTATAACTCAAAACGCACAACGGCATTCTCCTCCTCCTCCTCCCTCCCTCCCTCCCTCCCTCCCTCCCTCCC